AGAAAATAATACCGACATCAAGAGGTCGGTTTTTATTGTAATTCATTTTTCTGAGAAAAATTTCGACCTCCTGAGGTCGGAATTTGGTTTTCCCGCTTTATTTTGCATAAAAATTGACTACTTGTTGTCGGTTTTCATAACAACGTAATTTCATACTCTAAATATGGATTATTGATCTAACTTTCTATTTATAAAAGTATACAAAATTGTTACACTTTTTTAAACAATTAATTATAGGTGTGAAATGAAAATTTAGTTTAATGCTAGCAAAATTATGATTAATAGGAATATTTTAAACAAACCGACCTCCGGATGTCGCTTTAATTGAAGGTAATTAGATGAAATGTAAATACCAACCTCCATTAAAGCGACATCCGGAGGTCGGTTTGTTTAAAATATTCCTATTAATCATAATTTTGCTAGCATAAAACTAAAATTTCATTTTACACCTATAATTAATTGTTTAAAAAGTGTAACAATTTTGTATACTTTTATAAATAGAAAGTCAGATCAATAATCCATATTTAAAGTATGAAATTACGTTGATATGAAAACCGACAACAAGTAGTCGGTTTTTATGCAAAATAAAGCAGGAAAACCAAATTCCGACCTCTGGAGGTCGAAATTTTTCCCGAAAAAAATGAATTACAATAAAAATCGACCTCTTGATGTCGGTATTAAACAAATAAATAAATAACAATTCTTTAGTTTTTCTCAATTAAATATTTTAGGTTTTCTGTAAAATAAAAAAACAAAAAAAATTATAATACTGACTTCCGAATGTCGGTAAAATTAAATAGTATGTAATTAAAATACCAACCTCATGAGGTCGGTATTTTTATTTCATCTAATTACTTTTAAAAAGTGACATCCGGAGGTTGGTTTGTTTAAAATGTTCCTATTAATCATAATTTTGCTAGCATAAAACTAAATTTTCATTTTACACCTATAATTATTTTTTTTAAAATGTAACAATTTTGTATACTTTTATAAATAAAAAGTTAGATCAATAATCCATATTTAAAGTATGAAATTACGTTGATATGAAAACCGACTTAGTCGGTTTTTATGCAAAATAAACCGGGAAAACCAAATACCGACCTCTGGAGGTCGGAATTTTTCCCGGAAAAAATGAATTACAATAAAAACCGACCTCTTGATGTCGGTATTATTTTCTCAATTAAATATAAAAAACAAAATTGAGAAATATTTTAGGTTTTGTGTAAAATAAAAAACAAAAAAATTATAATACCGACTT